CAGTGCCTGAGTTCCCCAATGGTCAGTCCGCCCCTGCTTCACCCTGCAACCTCCAGCTGCCCACGTAATGCGCATGCGTGCCGGCACATGTGCATCCATGGATGGCGGAGGTCTCTGTGCTGACGGCATGCTCAGTGTTGGAGGGCTGGTCAGTGTCAGAGCTTACACAGGACTCCCCTCCCCCATGCAACAAGTCTGCTGATCAGCTGCATCCTGAGAAAAGGTCACATGATACCCCGTATCCAATGGCTGCATGGGGGAGAATACAGAGGAGCAAAGGATAGGATTCCCCTATGCTAGGTCATTGTCAGAGCTTACACAGGGTTACCACCTCCCCTCCCCCATGTGACAGTGTTCAGGTCTACCGATTGGCGGAGAAGGTCACATGACAACACACATCCAATGGCTGCATGGAGAGAATATAGAGGAGCAAAGGTTAGGATTCCTCTATGTTAGATTAGTGTCGGAGCTTACACAGGGTTACCGCCTCCCCTCCCCCATATTCTCCCCCATACTACAATACTCGGGTCTGCTGATCAGCTGCATCCTGAGAAAAGGTCACATGATACCCCGTATCCAATGGCTGCGTGGAGAGAATACAGAGGAGCAAAGGTTAGGATTCCTCAATGCTAGGTCAGTGTCGGAGCTTACACAGGGTTACCACCTCCCCTCCCCCATGTGACAGTGTTCAGGTGTACCAATTGGCAGAGAAGGTCACATGACAACACCAGGGGCGGACTGACAACTCATGGGGCCCCCAGGCAATAGGGGGATCATGGGGCCCGTGTCCTTGTCCAAACCCAAAAAAGCCTATGAAAAAAGGTACCAGGGGCATCTCATGGGGCCCCCTACTGACCCCGGGCCCTCGGGCAGTGCCCGAGTTTTCAAATGGTCAGTCCGCCCCTGGACAACAGATAACCGATGGCTGCGTGAAGAGAATACAGGAGCTAAGGTTAGGATTCCTCTATGCTAGGTCAGTGTCGGAGCTTACACAGGGTTACCAGCTCCCCTCCCCCACGTGACAGTGTTCAGGTCTACCGATCGGCGGAGAAGGTCACATGATACCCCATATCCAATGGCTGTGTGGAGAGAATACAGGAGCAAAGGTTAGGATTCCTCTATGCTAGGTCAGTGTCGGAGCTTACACAGGGTTACCAGTCTCCCCCTCCCCCACTTGACAGTGTTCAGGTCTACCGATTGGCGGAGAAGGTCACATGACAACACATATCTATAAATACAGAGTAGAAGAGAACCTGTTTTGTTGCAGCGATTGGCAGCCCACTGAACGGCGCTCTACAACCGCCATACCGACACGTACTCACCGGTATAGAAGAGGAACTGGATGAAGTATTTCTGGTTGAGCTCGCCGACGCAATTGTTGATCCTGCGGGGAATGAACGGACAGGATTACACAGGGCGGTGATCGGAGAGGCGGGGCACGTGGTATGTGACGTCATCGTACCAGGGACAGTGGTGGTCCATGCGGCGGATGCAGCGGTGGCAGATCCGGCAGTGGTGGGCCCGCGGGGGGCCGGTACGTCTCGCAGCGATTGCACACCGTCCAGTCTTCATTGCCCTGCGGGTTCAATAATTACGGCTTCATTTATTACAGGGTCACCGGAAATGGGAGTTCTCAGCTCCGCCCCCCTTTAAGGATCAAGTCTCTCACTGGTCCTGCTGCAACAGTATCAGTTATGTAGGAAAAGGAAGGGAGGGGCTGAGAACCAGGAGATGGGTGGGCGGAGCTGAAAACCTAAACGCAGGAGGTGGAGCTGAAAACCAGGAGACGGGGTGGGCAGGGCTGAGAACTAGGAGACAGGTGGGCGGAACTAAGAACTGGAGACTGATGGGTGGACTGGATGGGCTGAGAATCACTGGATGGGCAGGGAGCTGAGGAGCTGAGACCCAAAGATGGGAGGGTGGAGGGAATCAGGGAGAACAGGGAGACAGGAGGGAGGAGCTGAGAACCAGGGAGACAGGAGGGAGGAGCTGAGAACCAGGGAGACAGGAGGGAGGAGCTGAGAACCAGGGAGACAGGACGACTGGAGGGGACAGGGATACAGGAGACAGGAGCTGAGAACCGACAGGAGGGAGACAGGAGAAAGGAGCTGAGAATCCAGGGCGACAGGAGGGAGGAGCTGAGATCAGGGGACAGGAGGGAGGAGCTGAGAACCAGGGAGACAGGAGGGAGGAGCTGAGAACCAGGGAGACAGGAGGGAGGAGCTGAGAACCAGGGAGACAGGAGGGAGGAGCTGAGAACCAGGGAGACAGAGACTGGAGGGAGGAGCTGAGAACCAGGGAGACAGGAGCTGAGAACCAGGGCGACTGGAGGGAGGAACTGAGAATCAGGGCGACAGGAGGGAGGAGCTGAGAATCAGGGCGACAGGAGGGAGGAGCTGAGAATCAGGGCGACAGGAGGGAGGAGCTGAGAACCAGGGAGACAGGAGGGAGGAGCTGAGAACCAGGGAGACAGGAGGGAGGAGCTGAGAAGACAGGGAGGAGCTGAGAACCAGGGAGGGAGGAGCTGAGAACCAGGGAGACAGGAGGGAGGGTGCTCAGGGAACTAAGAAACTGGAGACAGGTAGGCAGAGATGAGAACCGAAAAACAGGAGGTGGAGTTGAGAAACAGGGAGACAGGTGGGCGGAGCTGAGAATCAGGGAGACAGGTGGGCGGAGCTGAGAATCAGGGAGACAGGTAGACTGGACTGACAACCCAAAGACGGGGGATGGAGCTGAGAACCCAAAGATGGGGGGGTGGAGCTGAGAACCAAAAGATGGAGGGTGCTGATGAACTCCAGGAGACAGGCTGAGACAGGAGACAGGGGAGGGCTGAGAACCAGGAGACAGGTGGGAGGGGCTGAGAACCAGGAGACCAGGTGGGAGGGGCTGAGAACCAGGAGACAGGTGGGAGGGGCTGAGAACCAGGAGACAGGTGGGAGGGGCTGAGAACTTTAAAGCCAACTCCAGCAAAAATCTGATTGATTGATTTTAAAACAGGGGAGGGGTTACAGCCCTGTAGGGCAATTATTTCCTGTCATGATAACCAAACAGGAAGTGAGGAGAACTCTTTCCCATGGAGACACAGACAGCTCTTCCCCCACTCTGCTTACAGACATATTGGTGCCCCCACATGGAGAGATTCTACAAACTTCCTGTATCAGGTGACCACACAGGAAGTGGAGGAAACCCTCCGCGGGACCAGCAATAAAACCTCGGCAGGGGTTGTGGCGAGGACGGAGTTTTTGGCGCGTTTCCTGGCGCTCACCCGGTCATTTTTGCGTGGATTGCTGCGCAGATCTGAGAAGTCGATGGCCATTTCCGGCAGCGGGTACGACACCTGGGATAACGCCAAGAGGGGGGGGGGAGGGGTTAGATCACGCAGGGTGGAGATGTGCGCTGGAGGCGGAGCAAGGACATGGCTCACCTGGATCGGAGAAGACGGCCCGCGTGTGACACGCCAGGAGCATAAAGACGATGAGATTGTAGAGGATGGCATGGACCGGACACCAGACACTGCGGAGGAGGAGCAGAGGGCGGTCATACTTCATACACTGCATGGGGCCCCACCAGCCCTGGGGCCCCTGATCTCCCTATGACCCTAGAAACCAATGTTTTCACCATGTGGCCCCCAATCTCTGGGTCCTTCCCACTGTGGCCCCTGATCCCATGGGGAACTGAATTCTCTATCCTTTCTCCTGTGGCCCCTACACCCCCTGTGCTTCCCACTGTGGCCCCTAATCCCGCTTCATCCCCCTATCTCTGTCCATCTGGCCCCTCAGCACTGTTTCCTGCGGCCCCTAGTATCCAAGTCTTCCCCTTTGTGGCCTCTTATCCCTCAGTCTTCTCACCTGTAGCCCCGGATCACCCAGCCCTCCCCCCCCCCCCCCCCCCCCCCCACCGTGGCCCTCCAAGCACCCAAGCGATCTTCCTTGTGGCCCCTAATTTCCCCAGTACTCTCTCCGCGGCCCCTTGTCCCCCCCAGTCCACCCCTGCGGCCCCGGGTGTCCCCCCCAGTCCTCCTTCCTGCGGCCCCTAATTGTCCCCCCCAGTCCTCCTTCCTGCGGCCTCGGGTGTCCCCCCCAGACCTCCTTCCTGCAGCCCCGGGTGTCCCCCCCAGACCTCCTTCCTGCGGCCCCGGGGGTGTCCCCCCCAGACCTCCTTCCTGCGGCCCCCCCCCAGTCCTCCTTCCAGTGGCCCCGGGTGTCCTTCCTGCGGCCCCGGGTGTCCCCCCCAGACCTCCTTGCGGCCCCGGGTGTCCCCCCCAGACCTCCTTTCCTGCGGGGTGTCCCCCCCCAGACCTTCCTTCCTCCTTCCTGCGGCCCCTGGGTCCTCCTTTCCAGTGGCCCCGGGTGTGCGGCCCCGGTGTCCCCCCCAGTCCTCCTTCCTGTGGCCCCGGGTGTCCCCCCAGTCCTCCTTCCTGCGGCCCCGGTGTCCCCCCCAGTCCTCCTTCCTGTGGCCCCGGGTGTCCCCCCCAGACCTCCTTCCTGCGGCCCCGGGTGTCCCCCCCAGTCCTCCTTCCTGTGGCCCCGGGTGTCCCCCCCAGTCCTCCTTCCTGTGGCCTCCGGGTGGCCCCTGTGTCCTCCCCAGTCCTCCTTCCTGTGGCCCCCTGGTTCCCCCAGTCCTCCTTCCTGTGGCCCCTGGTCCCCCCAGTCCTCCTTCCAGTGGCCCCTGGTCCCCCCAGTCCTCCTTCCTGTGGCTCCTGGCACCCTCAGTCATACCCCTGTGGTGGTTCTCCCTTCCTGTGGCCCCTGCTCCCTCAGAGCTCCCCCCCGGTCCCCCCGTACCTCCCGGCGTAGTCCTCCAGCAGGATGTGTCGGACGATGACGTACTCGGAGTAGCTGACACTCAGGTAGGTGAGGAGGAGGCAGAGCAGCCCGCACGGGTCCCGGACACACAGCGCCATCACCCGGCTCCTCCCCCTCCACCCCACTCCACCAACCACACGGCCGCTCCCAGACACGGCCACGCCCAGCCCGGCACTTCCGCCATCGAACGGTCACCTGACTGGCTGTCATCTACCGCTTCCGGTATAGAGCATCTCCATGGAGACCGGCAGTGCATTGTGGGGGAGGAGGAGTTCCACACCCAGAACCGTCAGCAGAGACTCCTCCCCTGTCATGTGACCTGTACAGGGTCCAGAGAGCGGGGGAGGGGAGATATCCTCCTATAATAAGAAGAGGCGGGGCTGTGTGAGTATCAGGGGATGATAAACACCCCGTACTGGGGGTACTTCCGGGTATGGGGACCATGTGATCACTCTGCTGGTGGATGATAGGTCCAGCACTGTCACATGGGGGAGCCAGGCCTGTGTAAGCTCCAACAGAGAACAACTTCCCATGGGACGCAGCTGGTCACATGACTGCCACCTCATTTTGCACGGCGCCCCCCCCCCCCCACAGCATAATGAATTTCACAGACAGGTCACATGCAGCAGAGCTCAGCGCGGGGGAGAAGCAGCACAAGCAGCCAATCAGTTTGATAAGAAACGTGCTGATAGGAGGAGAGAGCAGAGTGACCGAGCGATGAGCTCATTACAGTGCTGCTTCTCCTTTCACTGTCCAATCACCTGCTGGGGGCGGGTTCAGGGTGACCTGGGCTCAGAGGAAGTGGCGTGAATGATGCCATTCGTCAGACTGAGGACATCTAGTGGCAGAAGAAGAGTACTGCTGTTCAGGGTGACCTGGGCTCAGAGGAAGGAGGTTTGAATCATGCTGATAGGAGGAGACAGCAGAGTGACCGAGAGATGAGCGCATCCCTGTGCTGCGTCTCCTTTCACTGTCCAATCACAGGCTGGGGGGCGGGTTCAGGGTGACCTGGGCTCAGAGGAAGGAGGTTGAATCATGCTGATAGGAGGAGAGAGCAGAGTGATGGAGAGATGAGCTCATCTTGGGCTCAGAGGAAGTGGCCAGACCTTCCGACCGAGCACAGCTAGGCGACGGGTATCTGTAGAAGGCCATGATGGGGTCACGCTCATAGAGGCAGCCAGGCAACTAGCAGTTTCAGGGATGGGGGAGGGGTCAGTGGATGTATGTCTCTGTAGTGAAGTATATATTATATGTACCCTGCGGGGCCCAGATAGTGCAATCAGCACGCTGAACACAACCTGGGGGGGGGGGAGGGGGGCTTATCCAGGACACAGTCTGTGTGATGGAGATATCTGCCCCAACCAGGCACTTCCTGATCGCCTCCCTGTCACCTCAACCCAGACCTCTGATTGGCTGACAGCTGACAGGCACGCCCCCCTCCAGTACTCCATCCTCCTTACCATGTGGGTGGAGGTCCCAGTGAGTGCTGGAGAGGATCAGAGAGGGTCAGCTGGTAAGATTACATTGTATCTGATCTCCTCCCGTCATTACATTGTATCTGATCTCCTCCTTTCGTTACATTGTATCTGATCTCCTCCTTTCGTTACATTGTATCTGATCTCCTCCTTTCGTTACATTGTATCTGATCTCCTCCTTTCGTCGTTACATTGTATCTGATCTCCTCCTTTCGTTACATTGTATCTGATCTCCTCCTGTCGTTACATTGTATCTGATCTCCTCCTGTCGTTACATTGTGTGATCTCCTCCCGTCGTTACATTGTATCTGATCTCCTCCCGTCGTTACATTGTATCTGATCTCCTCCTGTCGTTACATTGTATCTGATCTCCTCCTTTCGTTACATTGTATCTGATCTCCTCCTGTCGTTACATTGTATCTGATCTCCTCCTTTCGTTACATTGTATCTGATCTCCTCCTGTCGTTACATTGTATCTGAACTCCTCCTGTCGTTGACATTGTGTGCAATCTCTCCTCCTGTCGTTACATTGTATCTGATCTCCTCCCGTCGTTACATTGTATCTGATCTCCTCCCGTCGTTACATTGTGTGATCTCCTCCCGTCGTTACATTGTATCTGATCTCCTCCTGTCGTTACATTGTTGTATCTGATCTCCTCCTGTCGTTACATGTATCTGATCTCCTCCCGTCGTTACATTGTATCTGATCTCCTCCTGTCGTTACATTGTATCTGATCTCCTCCTGTCGTTACATTGTATCTGATCTCCTCCTGTCGTTACATTGTGTCTGATCTCCTCCCGTCGTTACATTGTGTGCGATCTCTTCTAGTGTGTTACAATGTATCATCTGTACTGTGTGGCCGAGGATTGGTTCTATGACTGATAACAGGATGTCTATATTACTGACCCCTCTAGATCTGCAGAACATCGATCTCCTCCCTCTCCCTCCTCCCCCTCCTGACAGATCCCTAGAGGATGTATTCTGCAGATTATTCCACCATTGAGATCTGCAGAACATCGCTCCCTCCCCTCCCCCCCCACCTGACAGATCATTATTGATATTCTGCAGATTATTCCACCATTGAGTTCTGCAGACCATCGCTCCCTCCCCTCCCCTCCCCCTCCTGACAGATCCCTAGTGATGTATTCTGCAGATTATTCCACCATTGAGATCTGCAGACCATCGCTCCCCCCCCTCCCCCACCTGCCAGATCATCATTGATATATTCTGCAGATTATTCCACCACTGACCTCTCTAGAGATCTGCAGAACATCGCTCCCTCCCCTCCCCCTCCTGACAGATCCATATTGATGTATTCTGCAGATTATTCCACCACTGACCTCTCTAGAGATCTGCAGAACATCGCTCCCTCCCCTCCCCCTCCTTACAGATCCCTAGTGATGTATTCTGCAGATTATTCCACCATTGAGTTCTGCAGACCATCGCTCCCTCCCGACAGATGATGTATACTGTAGAGTATTGATCTTGTTGTCTTCTCTCAGCCGGTTTGTCAGATGCCGAGGTCGGTGGTAGTCGCTGGGGGCGGCATTAGTGGGCTGACCGCCTGCTACCATCTGGTGAAGGATGCCAAGGTGCCCAAGGTGAGGATCCCGGCCCCGCCCACTCATCGATCATTTCTGTGTCTGATGGGATTCGATCGTACGCTTTGGTCTAATCCCTTACTTTTATTCCCGGTGATGTCATCACTGGGCCTCTGTTCTTCTCTATGCAGTGTGTCGTCACGTATGTTCTGTTGCTTTTCACACAGGTGATTTTGCTGGAGAGCAGCTCCAGGCTCGGCGGATGGATGCGCTCCACGCGGACAGACGATGGCGCTGTGTTTGAGCATGGCCCCCGCGGCATGCGCCCGGCGGGAGTGGTGGGCAAGAACTCCCTGTGTATGGTGAGTCTCTGAGACGCCGGTTGGGAGTTACTGGGAGAGTTTGATACAATCCTGCGGCGGATGACAACTTGCTGACATCCCCGGGGCGGAGGACGGCCGGCTGACTTCCCCGGGCGGAGGGCGGCCCTTCCCGGGGCGGCTGACTTCCCGGGGCGGAGGGGACGGCGCTGACTCTCCCTGACTGACTCCCGGGGCGGAGGCGGCCGGCTGACTTCCCGGGGCGGAGGACGGCCGGCTGACTTCCCGGGGCGGAGGACGGCCGGCTGACTTCCCGGGGCGGAGGACGGCCGGCTGACTTCCCGGGGCGGAGGACGGGGCCGGCTGACTTCCCGGGGCGGAGGGCGGCCGGCTGACTTCCCGGGGCGGAGGGCGGCCGGCTGACTTCCCGGGGCGGAGGGCGGCCGGCTGACTTCCCCGGGGCGGAGGGCGGCCGGCTGACTTCCCCGGGGCGGAGGGCGGCCGGCTGACTTCCCGGGGCGGAGGGCGGCCGGCTGGCTGACTTTCCGGGGCGGAGGGCGGCCGGCTGACTTTCCGGGGCGGAGGGCGGCCGGCTGACTTTCCGGGGCGGAGGGCGGCCGGCTGACTTTCCGGGGCGGAGGGCGGCCGGCTGACTTTCCGGGGCGGAGGGCGGCCGGCTGACTTTCCGGGGCGGAGGGCGGCCGGCTGACTTTCCGGGGCGGAGGGCGGCCGGCTGACTTTCCGGGGCGGAGGGCGGCCGGCTGACTTCCCGGGGCGGAGGACGGCTCTCTGGCTTCCCGGGGCGGAGGACGGCTCTCTGACTTCCCGGGGCGGAGGACGGCCGGCTCTCTGGCTTCCCGGGGCGGAGGACGGCCGCTTGCAGGAAGATCCGCTTGCTGTCTGTATATCCTCCAGCGATGGCTGCCTGGCATTTCTCAGGGCGGGCTCATGATGGTGACAACAGTGGACAGTGTCTGTGTGAAGAAACACCCTCTTGATTTGTCCATTAGAAGCCCATGTAACAGGGTGACAACAGGAGCACAATTGGGGGATGGGCACAGAGCGTTGTCACCCTATAACAGTTTTGTCTCTGTACTGGGGGGGCTCTCTCCCCACAGATACATTGCCCCCCCCCCAATGTACAGCGTGTGGTTGTTACAATCTTGTCTTTTGCCGCCACACACACACGTTGGGTGCTCATTAAGGGGTTAAAAAAATAAATCGTGTGATCGTTTGACCGACTTGCACACTTTCCCCTCCTAGGTGTCTGAACTCGGCCTGGAGAGCGATCTGATCCCCATCCCAAGTAGTCACCCCGCTGCCAGGAACCGTTTCCTCTACGTCCACAAGGCTCTGCACAGAATGCCCTCCAGTCTGGGGTGAGAACAGCGAGCAGGCTTTGCTTTTCATAGGTGGGCTTCAGAGTCAGCCGGGGGGGGGGGGGGGGGGGGTCAGGCTACTGGGATTTTTTTTTTTGCTATATAAATAAAAAAAGTCCAAAAATTTTGAAAAAAAGGTTTTCTTATGAAATTTTGCAAATAAATAATATTTCATCATAAATCTTGGAAAAATGTATTCAGTTATCTTTTTAGTAAAAAAAAATAAATAACATAAATTAGTTTATACTTAAAAATTTATAATTTTTTATTTTATTTTTTTAGATTATTATTGGTTTTTGTTTTTTTACATACTGTCACCCTAGCAGTCCATTGTCACCATGGTGACGCTGTACTACTTGTGGGGGGTGAGGAAGATTTTTTTTTTTTTTTTTACTACAGAAATGAAAATGTCCCAACATTTTGAAAAAAAAAAAGTGTTTTTCTTATAAAATTTTGCAAATAATCTTTCTTCATAAATCTTAATAAAAATATATTCATCTATTTTTTTTTTTAGTAAAAAAATAAATAACCCACATTAGTTTATAACCAAAAATTATAATTTTTCAAAAATGTGTTTTGTGTTTTTTTTTTTAATTATTATTTATGGGGGTTTTTTTCTGTGTGTTTTTTTTTTTTTTTTTTTTGTTATTTTATGGGGGTTTTTTTTTTTTGTGTGTGTAGTTTTTTTTTAATATTATTATTTATGGGTTTTTTTTTTTTTATATTATTATTTATGGTTTTTTTTTTTTTTATATATTATTATTTATGGGGTTTTTTTGTGTGGGTGTTTTTTTTATATTATTATTTATGGGGGTTTTTTTTGTGTGTGGTGTTTTTTTTTTTTTTTTTTTTTTAGTATTATTATTTATGGTGTTTTTTTGTTTTTTTTTAATTATTATTTACGGGGGTTTTTTTCTGTGTTTTTTTTTGTTATTTATGGGGGGGTTTTTTTGTGTGTGTTTTTTTTTTAATATTATTATTTATGGGGTTGTTTTTTTTTTTTATATTATTTTATGGGGTTTTTTTGTGGGGTGTTTTTTTTTATATTATTATTTATGGGGGTTTTTTGTGTGTGTAGTTTTTTTTTTAATATTATTATTTATGGGGTTTTTTTTTTATATTATTATTTATGGGTTTTTTTGTGGGTTTTTTTTTTTTATATTATTATTTATGGGGGTTTTTTTTGTGTGTGGTGTTTTTTTTTTTTTTAGTATTTATGGGGGGTTTTTTTTTGTGGGGTTTGTTTTTTTTTTATTTTAATATTATTATTTATGGGGGGTTTTTTTTTTTTTGTGTGGGTTTTTTTTTTTTAATATTATTTATGTTTTTTTTTTTTTTTTTAATATTATTATTTATTTTTGTTAATATTTATGGGGTTTGTTTTTGTGTGGGGTTTTTTTTTTTTAAATATTATTATTTTTTTATGGGTTTTTTTTTTTTTTTGTTGTTTTTTTTTTTTTTTTTAGGTTTTTTTTATACTGTCACCCTAGCAGTAGTGTCACCATGGTGACACTGTACTACTTGTGGGGGGTGATGAAGATTTTTTTTTTTCTTTTTTCACACTGATTGCTTTTACACCCATAAAGGCTGTAACATCAATAATTTCTCCTTCTCTCTGGTTGCATTCATGCAGCCATTGAGAAATACTGTGTGAGCTGTGATTGGTCACAGCTGGTCACATGGTACAGGGCTGTTGTGAAGGGCCCTGTACCATGTGATCTCTGTGATCATTCACAGATTTCACACGTAGTAAGCAATGATGTCCGTAGTGACATCTTGCTTACTACTCTTCATGTGATCACTGATTGGCCAATCGGTGATCACATGATCGGGACCTCACACGTACAACGATCGGTGACACAGCGGGCACCGGATCGCCAACAGATATTCGGAGGGATTGGGTCGATTTTATGAAGTGCATGGGATAGGGCATTGCTACACAACGTGTCACATTTTGTAGACGTGTATCAGGGTGACAACACAGGAGCAGGACTGGGAGACATGGACAGGGAGTTGTCACCCTATGACAGGAAGTGCCTGAACAAGGATCTACGTAGCAGGATAAATGTTTTTTTTTTTTTTTTTTTCTGAAAGCTGCAGGTCCATCAACAGCGAGGACAGGGGGGACTGATGATGGAGCAAAGCAGGTCAGACCACTGCAGGGAGTATCGGGGGGGGTCTGTGCAGAGACACAACAGTTATGGGGGGGGGTGACGGGGGGAGGGGGCAGAGATACGAGATGTATGGGGGTGGGATCAGAGGCTCTACAATCCACCGAATTCTAGAATTGTCAGATTTTTAAGGGGCGACCCTCTAATAGGAGGCGACTTGACCGGCCTGGAAACCAACAGAGCGCTTTCTTCTCTGTCCTTACAGGGGGGTCCTCCGTACCATCCCCCCCTTCTCCAGACCATTGTTCCTGTGTGGCCTGCAGGACCTGACCGCTCCCCGCGGGTCCCGGGAGGACGAGAGCGTCCATGATTTCTTCACAAGACGCTTCGGGAAAGAGGTACGAAATGGAGACTCTCCTCTCCTGAAATACTCTGCACTGCTGGAGGACTCCACCCCTTCCTCTATAACTCCTCTCCTGAAATACTCTGCACTGCTGGAGGACTCCGCCCCTTCCTCTATAACTCTCCTCTCCTGAAATACTCTGCACTGCTGGAGGACTCCACCCCTTCCTCTATAACTCCTCTCCTGAAATACTCTGCACTGCTGGAGGACTCCACCCCTTCCTCTATAACTCTCCTCTCCTGAAATACTCTGCGCTGCTGGAGGACTCCGCTCCTTCCTCTATAACTCTCCTCTCCTGAAATACTCTGCACTGCCGGAGGACTCCGCCCCTTCCTCTATAACTCCTCCCCTGAAATACTCTGCACTGCTGGAGGACTCCGCTCCTTCCTCTATAACTCTCCTCTCCTGAAATACTCTGCACTGCCGGAGGACTCCGCCCCTTCCTCTATAACTCCTCCCCTGAAATACTCTGCACTGCTGGAGGACTCTGCCCCTTCCTCTATAATCCTCTCCTGAAATACTCTGCACTGCTGGAGGACTCCGCTCCTTCCTCTATAACTCCTCTCCTGAAATACTCTGCGCTGCTGGAGGACTCCGCTCCTTCCTCTATAACTCTCCTCTCCTGAAATACTCTGCGCTGCTGGAGGACTCCGCTCCTTCCTCTATAACTCCTCTCCTGAAATACTCTGCGCTGCTGGAGGACTCCTCTCCTTCCTCTATAACTCCTCTCCTGAAATACTCTGCACTGCTGGAGGACTCCGCCCCTTCCTCTATAAACTCCTCTCCTGAAATACTCTGCGCTGCTGGAGGACTCCGCCCCTTCCTCTATAACTCCTCTCCTGAAATACTCTGCGCTGCTGGAGGACTCCGCTCCTTCCTCTATAACTCCTCTCCTGAAATACTCTGCGCTGCTGGAGGACTCCTCTCCTTCCTCTATAACTCCTCTCCTGAAATACTCTGCACTGCTGGAGGACTCCCCCTTCCTCTATAACTCCTCTCCTGAAATACTCTGCGCTGCTGGAGGACTCCTCTCCTTCCTCTATAACTCCTCTCCTGGAGGCGCTGCTGGAGGACTCCTCTTCTTCCTCTATAACTCTCCTCTCCTGAAATACTCTGCGCTGCTGGAGGACTCCGCCCCTTCCTCTATAACTCTCCTCTCCTGAAATACTCTGCCCTGCTGGAGGACTCCTCTCCTTCCTCTATAACTCTCCTCTCCTGAAATACTCTGCACTGCTGGAGGACTCCGCTCCTTCCTCTATAACTCCTCTCCTGAAATACTCTGCGCTGCTGGAGGACTCCTCTCTTCCTCTATAACTCTCCTCTCCTGAAATACTCTGCGCTGCTGGAGGACTCCGCCCCTTCCTCTATAACTCTCCTCTCCTGAAATACTCTGCGCTGCTGGAGGACTCCTCTCCTTCCTCTATAACTCCTCTCCTGAAATACTCTGCTCTGCTGGAGGACTCCGCTCCTTCCTCTATAACTCTCCTCTCCTGAAATCCTCTGCGCTGCTGGAGGACTCCGCCCCTTCCTCTATAACTCCTCTCCTGGAGGACTCCGCCCCTTCCTCTATAACTCCTCTCCTGGAGGACTCCGCCCCTTCCTCTATAACTCCTCTCCTGGAGGACTCCGCCCCTTCCTCTATAACTCCTCTCCTGGAGGACTCCGCCCCTTCCTCTATAACTCCTCTCCTGGAGGACTCCGCCCCTTCCTCTATAACTCCTCTCCTGGAGGACTCGCCCCTTCCTGTATAGCTCTCCTCTCCTGTGACTGTTGCACCTTCTCTCTGCTCTCTCCTGCAGTTGGCGGACATCGTGGTGGACAGTCTGTGTCGGGGGGTATTTGCCGGGGACTGTCGGAGGCTCAGCCTGCGCTCCTGCTTTCCCTTCCTGCATGATGCTGAAGCTCGGAAGAGATCGGTCATCCTGGGTATGGCGACAGGCGGAGGTAGGTCCCTCCCCCCTGCTTGGCCCTATCACCACAGTATATATCTCAGAGGGGGCGTGTCATTCACAGTGTCATTTGCAACCTGTCAATCACAGCCATGTGATGAATAGATTGGTTCCCGGCCGTGACAACCCCGCCCCGTCAGAAGGGATCCCCGTCCTACACCTCCATATGCAGGGCAGAGCAGGGAAGTGGCAGCACGTGGCTACCCCTCCTCCACACTAGTCCACCATCCTCCTCTCGTGTCCCTTCCACGTATGAGACATGCTGGTGACACGGGGGGTGCTTACTAATACTGTAAGGGGCAGTAGTATAATAGAGGCACTATGATTGGGGGTCACTGACCACCAATGTAAGAGGGGATTTTACTGGGGTCCCCTACTGACCACCAATGTAAGAGGGGGTTTTACTGGGGACCCCCACTGACCACCAATGTAAGAGGGGATGTTATTGGGGCCCCCCACTGACCACCAATGTAAGAGGGGATGTTACTGGGGTCCCCACTGACCACCAATGTAAGAGGGGATGTTACTGGGGCCCCCCACTGACCACCAATGTAAGAGGGGATGTTATTGGGGGCCCCCACTGACCACCAATGTAAGAGGGGATGTTACTGGGGCCCCCCACTGACCACCAATGTAAGAGGGGGATGTTACTGGGGTCCCCCACTGACCACCAATGTAAGAGGGGGTGTTACTGGGGCCCCCACTGACCACCAATGTAAGAGGGGATGTTATTGGGGACCCCCACTGACCACCAATGTAAGAGGGGATGTTACTGGGGACCCCCACTGACCACCAATGTAAGAGGGGGATGTTACTGGGGCCCCCACTGACCACCAATGTAAGAGGGGATGTTACTGGGGGCCCCCCACTGACCACCAATGTAAGAGGGGATGTTACTGGGGCCCCCACTGACCACCAATGTAAGAGGGGATGTTACTGGGGCCCCCACTGACCACCAATGTAAGAGGGGATTTTAAGGGGCCCCCCACTGACCACCAATGTAAGAGGGGATGTTACTGGGGTCCCCCACTGACCACCAATGTAAGAGGGGATGTTTACTGGGGCCCCCACTGACCACCAATGTAAGAGGGGATGTTATTGGGGACCCCCACTGACCACCAATGTAAGAGGGGGTTACTGGGGACCCCCACTGACCACCTATGTTGAGGGGGACTCCCCCCACTGACCACCAATGTAAGAGGGGATGTTACTGGGGCCCCCCACTGACCACCAATGTAAAGAGGGGGGTTGTTACTGGGGCCCCCCACTGACCACCAATGTAAGAGGGGATGTTACTGGGGTCCCCACTGACCACCAATGTAAGAGGGGTGTTACTGGGGGCCCCCCACTGACCACCAATGTAAGAGGGGTGTTACTGGGGACCCCCACTGACTGACCAATGTAAGAGGGGTGTTATGTTGAGCACCAATGTAAGAGGGGGTGGGGACCCCCACTGACCACCAATGTAAGAGGAGATGTTACTGACCCCCATGTAATGTAAGAGGGGATGTTACTGGGGGCCCCCACTGACCACCAATGTAAGAGGGGATGTTACTGGGGCCCCCACTGACCACCAATGTAAGAGGGGGTGTTACTGGGGACCCCCACTGACCACCAATGTAAGAGGGGATGTTACTGGGGACCCCCCACTGACCACCAATGTAAGAGGGGATGTTACTGGGACCCCCACTGACCACCAATGTAAGAGGGGATGTTACTGGGGCCCACTGACCACCAATGTAAGAGGGGATGTTACTGGGGACCCCCACTGACCACCAATGTAAGAGGGGATGTTACTGGGGCCCCCCCACTGACCACCAATGTAAGAGGGGGTGAGCCCCCACTGACCACCAATGTAAGGGGCACTCTGACCACCAATGTAACCCCCCACTGACCACCAATGTAAGAGGGGATGTTACTGGGGCCCCCCACTGACCACCAATGTAAGAGGGGATGTTACTGGGGAGCCCCCACTGACCACCAATGTAAGAGGGGATGTTACTGGGGCCCCCACTGACCACCAATGTAAGAGGGGATGTTACAATTGGGGCTCCCCCCACTGACCACCAATGTAAGAGGGGATGTTACTGGGGCCCCCCACTGACCACCAATGTAAAGGGGGTGTTACTGGGGACCCCCACTGACACCAATGTAAGAGGGGATGTTACTGGGGCCCCCACTGACCACCAATGTAAGAGGGGATGTTACTGGGGCCCCCCACTGACCACCAATGTAAGAGGGGATGTTACTGGGGACCCCCACTGACCACCTATGTAAGAGGGGATGTTACTGGGGCCCCCCACTGACCACCAATGTAAGAGGGATGTTACTGGGGCCCCCCACTGACCACCAATGTAAGAGGGGATGTTACTGGGGACCCCCACTGACCACCAATGTAAGAGGGGATGTTACTGGGGACCCCCACTGACCACCAATGTAGACCAATGATGTTACTGGGGACCCCACTGACCACCAATGTAAGAGGGGTGTTACTGGGGACCCCCACTGACCACCAATGTAAGAGGGGATGTTACTGGGGTCCCCCACTGACCACCAATGTAAGAGGGGGTGTTACTGGGACCCCCACTGACCACCAATGTAAGAGGGGATGTTACTGGGGACCCCCACTGACCACCAATGTAAGAGGGGATGTTACAATGTGGGGACCGCCACTGACCACCAATGTAAGAGGGGATGTTACTGGGGACCCCCCCCACTGACCACCAATGTAAGAGGGGGTGTTACTGGGGACCCCCACTGACCACCAATGTAAGAGGGGATGTTACCTGGGGCCCCCCACTGACCACCAATGTAAGAGGGCACTCTGTTACAATGGGGACCCCCACTGACCACCAATGTAAGAGGGGATGTTACTGGGGTCCCCACTGACCACCAATGTAAGGAGGGGATGTTACAATGTAAGGGACCCCACTGACCACCAATGTAAGAGGGGATGTTACTGGGGCCCCCACTGACCACCAATGTAAGAGGGGATGTTAGTCCCCCACTGACCACCAATAAGAGGAATGAGCCCCCCACTGACCACCAATGTAAGAGGGGATGTTATTGGGGTCCCCACTGACCACCAATGTAAGAGGGGATGTTACTGGGGACCCCCACTGACCACCAATGTAAGAGGGAATGACCACAATGTAAGGGGGCCCCCACTGACCACCAATGTAAGAGGGGATGTTATTGGGGTCCCCACTGACCACCAATGTAAGAGGGGATGTTACTGGGGCCCCCCACTGACCACCAATGTAAGACAAGATGTTATTGGGGTCCCCCCACTGACCACCAATGTAAGATGAGATGTTATGGGGACCCCACTGACCCCAATGTAAGAAAAGCATTACTTGAAGGGCACACTCACAACCAATGGATGATTTATGTTATTGTCCAATCATCACTAACCAAACCAAACTTTAATTTGGCCACACCCCCTGTGGAATGTTCCTCCCCCAGGGATCCATGGCTTCTTCTGTGTTTTAGCTCTCCACCTCTCCAGGGTTGCTGTACTAATTCCCCAGCTGTGTCTTTTTGCAGCAGAGAAAACCCCGGAACTGGATTCACCTCTCATCCAGAAGGCCAAGAAGGAGCGTTGGAGCCAGTGGTCGCTGCGCGGGGGGATGCAGACGCTGTCTGATGCACTGGAGGATTACATCAAGCAGAGGGGGGTAGAGATACACAAGGACACCCCCATGGAGGCCATGGAGAGGACCCCCAACAACAGCTGGAAGGTGCCTGCCAGGGGTGGGCGGAACAAACTCAAAATTCAGCTTCCACCGAAACGGGTTATTTTTTTCTCGTTGGAGCGGGTGGGAGGAGTTATAGCCCCAAGGGGGTGACCTTTAGTTTCCTATGTGCCTAGTGTCCATTTCTCCTGTAGGTGGCAGTATAACCTGAGGGTGGTTATTATCAGCAAGCTGGGTCCAATCATAAATTTCCCCTCCTCCCAGGACAAATCCGCCCCCCACCGAAATCCCTCCTCCCTTCAAATCCCCCCCTGCCGAATACCTCCTCCCTTCAGGACCAATCCGACCCCTGCCGAGATCCCTCCTCCCAGGACAAATCCGCCCCCTGCCGAAATCCCTCCTCCCAGGACACCAATCCGCACCCTGCCGAAATACCTCCTCCCTTCACCAATCCGCACCCGCCGGAAATCCCCCTCCCAGCACAAATCCGCCCCCCGCCGGAATCCCTCCCAGCACAAATCCGCCCCCCGCCGAAATCCCCCTCCCAGCACAAATCCGCCCCTTGCCGAAATCCCTCCTCCCTTCACCAATCCGCCCCCTTCCAAAATCCCTCCTCCCAGGACAAATCCACCCCCTGCCGAACTACCTCTCCCTTCACCAATTCGCCCCCCTTCCGAAATCCCTCCTCCCAGCACAAATCCGCCCCCTGCCGAAATCCCTCCTCCCAGGACAAATCTGCCCCTGGCCGAGATCCCTCCTCCCAGGGCTATCCTCCCCCTGCCGAAATCCCTCCTCCCAGAACAAATCCTCCCCCTGCCAAAATCCCTCCTCCCAGGACAAATCCGCCCCCCTTCTGAAATCCCTCCTCCCGGGACAAATCCTCCCCCTGCCTAAATCCCTCCTTCCAGCACAAATCCGCCCCCTGCCAAAATCCCGCCTCCCAGGAAAAACTGCCACCTGCTGAAATTCCTCCTCCCAGGACAAATCCGCCTTCCCCATCCCAGCTCAAATAATTTCTCTACCTGTATCCCCCCCCCCCCCCCCTGCACAAATCTAAAAAAAAAAAAATCACTCTTACAGCACAAATCTTTTGCCCCTCAAATTTCCTCTCTGAGTACACCCCCCCCCCACACTTCAAATTCCCTCCATCCTCCCCTCATCCCAATCATCCCTGCTAGCACAACCCCCGGAAAAATTTCCCCTCCTAGTGCAAAATCCCCCCCCACCACCACACACTATATCACCTCTTCTAGCACAGATCCCCCCCTCATTCACCATGTCTAGCACACTCCTTCTCCTTACTGTCCCCCCAATTTCCTCCTCCAACACAAATCCCTCCACCCCCTCATTTTCCTCACGGTGAGCCCCTCCCCACACGTACACATCACCTCACATGATACACAGTGCCCAGGGCAGCCGCCCCTCCTGCCCACCCCCCTTTGTCCCGGCCCTACCTATGACCGTGCTGTTTAATGGCTCTTTAAACACATCGCTTCTTGAAAATGCAGAATAGGAATCTTCCGTGTCACATGTGAG